GGGGGGGGGTATTGCAGGAGATAAGCCCTACGAGTGTCGCGCTGCGGCGCGGCGGTGCGGCGCGGGGCTCGCGGAGGGGTAATTATGGATTTGAGCAATCCGTGAGGGAGAAGTGATGGTCCTTTACCGGGGTGGGATTTATTTACGATCTGTTTGACTTGTCATGAGTGAGAGAAAAAAAAGACGCGACTATTTTTGGAAGTGAATGTCATCTTATTTTGGTGGGAGGGGGTGGGGGTGCAGCTGCTGCTTCTAGTTTGCCTTTAAGGCGCTAACTGCCAGACTGTGTGCCGATGGTGCCTAGTCTCTACAGGGTGGGTGATCCGCGTCGACTTTTTTTAATGCTTATACTGTATCGGATTCACGCGTGCGGGCGGGCTTGCCTACCGTCGCTCACCATGGCGCCTTACGGGGCCGTGCGAGTATGCAACCCGTCCGCACGTACGAATCCGGTACAGTATAAGCATTAGAAAAAGACGGCGCGGATCACCCACCCTGTGTAGTAGCTCGTCCCCGAGGTACTATCTGCCTGGCCTAGCGTGGGTGAGGAACGGCCGGCGGTTAAGGTTGGGGGAGGGGGGAGGGGTCGGAGAAAGATGCCTGGGGAGGGAGGAGATCAACCGCGAGGAGTTGGGAGAGAACAGTATGGCGGCCGTACAATGCCACTTGTTGGGCTTTGGCGCGGCCGCCTAGCTGCGGCCGGCGCGTCCCGAGGCTGCTATTGTTATTTGTCAGTGGACTCGCGGCCTTCGCTCTGCTGTGACCCTCTGCTGCCTGCTCAAGATGGACCTGCCGCCCCTAATCGGGGAATTCGAGTGCCTGCGGTGGTTAAACGTAAGCGAACCTAGTTAGTCATTTTGGCTGTCAATATGGTGCGCGGGTTCGATCCCGATTTAACTTGCCGTTGCGGTTGCGGGGCGCCTGATTTATGAATCTGTAGGAACTGGCTGAGGAATATGCCGAGGTCGCGGAGGAGGTCGCTCGCCGCCGGGCCGCGTGCGAGGCCACGATTGCGTACCTGAGAATGCGCGGTGAGTCCCCACACCGACTCCTGGTTGCATTAGCGGCGTGGTCGCCGCGAAGGAAATCACAGCGGACTTGATAAACTATGCCCCTTTTATTATTGATTTTTTCAGTTGGCGGTGCTCGGCGGTCACCAACCCCCATGCCGTCACTTGTCGAGTCAGGCGCTCCGGCGTCCGCTGCTCCGGGGCCGTCGCGCGTCGAAGGCGCGGCGCACACTGCGTCGCGGAGCGTGGTTCCATACTCCGCGGGGTCGCCGGGGCGCGGAGGCGCGGCGGCTCGTGGTACCGGAAGACGCCGCCGTCGTGCGGCGATCGCCACCGTGTTGCCTGCATGGCGATAAGCAGAATATTCTGCTCCATTAAGGATGTTAACATGATTATGTTTTGAGAGAAAACCAATTATTTTGCGTACTATTAAACTTTGCGGTTATCCACTTGCTAAGAAAATCATTAGAAAGAGAAAGCGAGTGAGAGAGATGTAGTGGAAGAGAAGTGCGAAATGAGGGCCTAAAGGAGGTTAACGTAAGCTAAAGGGTCCCGATGAGCAGCTCCTCGGACGTCGTGAGGGACGGCGTCTGGGTGCGGCTGCTCCGTACCAAGCACCAAGCTCGTCGACCAGCAGCTCGGGGGTGCGACCCGCTGGGCCCCGAGATCGACGAGCACACTCGCAAGGGGCTGGGAATCAAACCACGGCCTGGTGCTGCTTCTAAGGCTCGTCCTCGACGCCGCAGGGCGTGCAGCGGGCCGGGGAGGA